GGCGGCGGCACGGGCGGCGCGGCGGGCGGCGGGGGCGGCGGCGGCGAGGGCGGGTGCACGTTCCAGGAGGTGGAGATCGCGGTGACCATGCTGTATGAGCTTGGAGAGGGCGCCCCCGAGGACGCGTTGAAGCCCGGCACCGGCGGCCTGGGCCAGCTCGCGCTTGTGCTGCTGGGCAGCGCCGGCGCGCTGCCGCGCGGCCGCCACCGCCTCGTCGCGCTCGCGGCGATGGAGGCGGCGGTGCGGTACGCGCGCGTGGTGCAGCAGCAGGCGCAGCAGCCGGCGATACCGGGGGTGCTGTCGCTGTTCCTCGAGCCCGGGCGCGGGCTGGGGCACCCGAGCGTGGACGTCGGCACGCGGGCGTGCTACCTTTTCAGCCGGCTGGTGAAGCTTCTGCGCAGCAACCTGCGGCCCTATGCGGGCGACATCCTCTCGTCCCTGCAGCCCCACCTGGTCGCCGTCGCGACCGTTCCCCCGCCCGCGGCCGCGCAGCCGGGGCAGTCCGGCGGCGGCGCCGCCGGCGGCCCCGCGGCGGCGTCGTCGCCGGCGGCGCTGGTCGGCGGGCGGGAGTCGAGTTCGGCGAAGCAGCTGGCGCCGAGCACAAGCCCTGTGGACGACCGGCTATATGTGTTTGAGGCGGTCGGGCTGCTGCTGGGGCAGGAGGATATTCCCTTGGAACAGCAGCAGGCGGCGCTGTCAGGGCTGCTGCAGCCGCTTATGCGGCAGATCGAGGGCAACCTGCGGCCGGCGGCGGCGGGCGCGGCGGCGGGCGTGGTGGCGGTCGCCGGCGACGCGGCGGCGGCGCGCGCCCCGCCAGCATGGCTCATTTTGCAGGTGACCCCGGGCCTTGATTGGTGGCGGCCGTGAAAAGGTGGACTTGTCGCGCCATTAAGCGGCGGACGTGCGGAGAAGGAGCGTTGTGTCATAGCGTCTGTTGCGTATGGAGGTTCCGGGCCACGTGGTGACCCTTCCGCTGCTGCGCCCACGGCCCTGGCTGTCCTCCTGATCTCCCCCTGTGGCGCCCCCCCAAAAGCAAACCGGCCTGTGTCCCTGTCCTGTCCCCCTGTTCGCAGGCTTTGGAAGCCATCGCCCGGCTCAACAAGGGCTTCAAGGCCGACATGTGCACGCGGACCCGGCCACAGCTAGGTGCGCCCAGATCCCCGACCCTCGCAGCTCCTTTGCTCCCCTCTCTCCCCGTGTCGCGGCTGTTTTGCACTCCCACCTAATGTTGGAACACAATACATACTCTCACACACAAGACACGTGTCACTAACACACAACATCACACACCAAACACACACAGGCCAGATGTTTTTGTCGTGCTTGGAAACAGCCATCCAGGTGCCCAAGGCGCTGCCGGGCCACAAGCAGCTGCGCGCGCGCTTCATCGCGTTTGTGCACCGCATGGTCGAGTCACTGCTGGCCGGGGTGCTGCCCTACCTGCCCATGGCCCTGCAGGTGGGTGGGTGCGCGAGTGCGCGCGCGCGTGTGTGTGTGTGTGTGTGTTTGTGTGTAAGTTGTGCGAAGGAGGTCGTTGTGGTAGTGGCTGCCATCTGTGGCTGTTGCTGCTCTCGGCCAGCAGCTGGGCCGGGCAAGGGGCCATTTCGCGCAAGTCTCACTCCAGAGCCAACGACGCTGCACCTGCCATCACTTCGAGCGACCCTCGTGGTCCTACGCTGCCTGTTCGGTGTTCCCAACGCCCCCTCACTCACACACACACACACACACACACACACACACACTTGCTCACTTGCTCACTTGCTCACTCACATGCGTACGTATTTCACGCTTACATAATCCACCTAACGCGTCCACACGCACACTCTCTCCCAGGTCCTGATGCACACCCAGGCGGACGCGCAGGACACCATCGACGTCCTCTCCCTCATGACCCAGCTCATGACGCGCTTCAAGGACGCCATGCTACCCCTGGTCGAGGCCATGCTGCCGCCCGTCGCCGCGCGCGTCGCCGCGCTGCTCGGCCCGGACTGGGACTGGTCGGGCCGCCAGGCGTCCCCGCCGTCCGCCGCGCCCGCGCCCGCCCAGGCGGCGGGCGGGGGTGCAGCAGCGGCAGCGGCAGCGGCGGGCGCGCAGCGGGCGGCGGCGGGGCAGCAGCAGCAGCAGCAGGAGCAGGGCGGCGGCGGCGGCGGCGGTTCCGGAGCCGAGGTCGTGGCGACACTGGAGGAGGCTCGGGAAAAGGGGGAGCTGCAGCGGGCGTATTACTCGTTCCTCCACGGCCTCGCGCACCACGGCCTCGCGGCCGCGCTGCTGCAGGCGCCGGCGTCGGTGCTCGACTCGGTGCTGGCGTCGCTGACCCAGGGCGCGGCGTCGCACGTCGACCCGACCGTGCGGCGCACGTGCCTGCAGGTGCGGAGGGGAGGTCTGTCGCGCTTTGGGGGGCTTGCGGTGCTGAATGGCGACACATGAGATGATGAGTCTGAGTGGCAGCGACCCGCACAGGCCTTAAGATCACATCCCCCGCAACGGGGTGCGCGTGTCCGCCTCCCCGGAGGCGGCGCGCGCGCCCCCGAGCGGGCTCCCTGTGGGATGGCATTGAGTCATACCTGTGCAACAGCAGCGCCGCCGCCAACGCGCGCACCCGGCCGCGCGTTATGCCGGCCGGGGGCGCCGGCGGCGTGCGGGCCCCGGGGTACAGCTGGCGGTGGCCTCCCCAACCGCCGCCCGGTCTCAAAGCCGGGGCCACAGCCCAACAAGCACCCCCTTGCTCTCGCACTCTCAACACAATTCTCGACCCCTCTGGTTGCGGCACCGGACGCCTCGGCTCCGCCCACACATGCTCCGCCCACGCACACGCCTCCAACCGCCGCCAACCGCCACTGAGGAACCGAAATCGCTTGTGGTGGAAAATCCCCCAATAAGGTTTTTGAGCGTCTGCTGGCGGAGTGGTGCGCAAACGGAGAGGTGGTCCCGGGCTTCAAGCGCTTTGCGATGGAGCAGCTCGGCGGCGAGGCGTGCGTGCTGGGCCTGCTGCGCGCGAGCCAGGGGCTCGACGCGCGCGACGCGGCGACTGCGGCGTTTGTGGGGGAGGTGGCGGCGGCGCTCAAGCTGCTGTATGGTGAGAGCGGGGGCCACGGGCCGGCTGGGCTGTGGCTGCGGGTGGGGGCGTGTGAGCGGGGTGGGTCTGCCGCTCGCCTTGCTGCGACTGACGGACCCTATGCTTTTTCGTGGGGCGTTGCTGGCCAGCCGTTCAGACGGTCGGTGGTCAGCGGGTCGTTGCAGCGAACGGCTGATGTAACGTTTCCCGACTGCAGCGCCCCGCGCGGATTTATGTCTTCATACATTCCCTGTCAATGAAACACACACACACACACACACACACACACACACACACACACACACACACACACACACAGAAAAGTGCGGCGACGAGTTTGCGGCCCACCTCTGCGGCCGCGTGCTGCCCTCCCTGGGCCTGCCCCAAGAGGTGCAGCAGCAGCTGGTGCACCACGTGCGGGAGTCCGACCCCAAGCAGCTCAAGGACTGCCTCAGAAACGTGCTGCTGCAGACCAACGCCGCGGCAGCCGCAGCCGCCGGAGCGGGGGCGGGCCGGTAGCCGAGGCCCGTGGGGCCGGGGTGCGGGCCGGGGGCTCGTGCCCCCGGCGGCCGCGCCGGCCACCTTGGCCTGTTTTCCAGCTCCGGCCACCCGCCCGGCCCCTTGCCCATGCGTCCCTGCGCCCCAGCGCTCCGCCGCCCGCAGGGGTCCCTTTTGTCGGCCCCCGGGGTCCGCTTGCCCCCGCCTCACCTTCCCGGTCGACCGCGCACGCGCAGGCGCGGCAGGAACCACTCTGTACAATCCATCAATCCGTCGCGCAACTCAGCTGGTGTGGCAGGCGGAGCGCGCGCTCGCGCCTGGTATAGGCCTGTCCCTCTCTTCTTCCCTCTGCCTCTCTGGCGTGTTGTGTCTGATTCGTCCCTTTCTGTTTCTCGCCTGGTAGAGCACTCGCCAATTCCAATCCAAGCCTTTCACGCCGCCGACAGAGAGGCACTGCAAAGCACTCAAACCCATGTCACGCACTATGACGGCAGATTCTTGGGTGCGCCGCGACCCCAGTCTGGACTGCCCGGACTGTCCGGCCTGGGCAGCCCCCACCCTCCCAAAAACAGCGACCTGCCTGCCCGTGTTGTCGCAGCCTCGAGTTGTGGCACCGTCTGAGCGCCGCTGCTGTGTAATGCTACCGGCTGTTTCACTTCCGGCTTCCAGGGACCAGGTTTCGGGCCAAACTTAGCCAATGTAGGGTCGCTACAGGGCAGCCGTGACCGACCCGGGCCTGGCAGGTGCAGCTGCGAAACAGAAGCAGCATACAAGGTCTTGAGGTGTGCGGGCCCAGGGGCCGGGCAGACTCTTATAAGACGCCACCATGTGCGCACAGGCCAGCTTTCTGCAGTGGGTTGGTCATCTGCTCAAATCGAGAAGGCACGAATTGGGGTCCCTTGCAGGATTGGCAGGCTGTGACCTTTGTACTCGTGCACTTCACAGCCACCTTCCAGGTGGCTGGTGACAGCGCTCGGCAGGTGGTTGGTGGATAGCCTGGCAGCTGGCCCACCAATCCCCAAGTCGTGTCTTGACAGGCTGCGACGCGTTGGCGGCATCCAGGCGCCCACCCATGTGTATATACCCCTGCGCTCCAGCCGCTCCACCCTTTGTGCCACCCCTGCAGCCACATGCGCACAACCACGCCTCGCAAGAGAGGCCTGGCGGGACATGGGCCTGCTCGGCTGCCTGCACTCCTGCTTGTGGGCGCTTGATTCGCGTGGGTGCCTTCCACCTGGTGGGCTGGTGACTGCCGCCATAGGGGTGTGCGACGGAGGGTAGGCTGAAGCAGCCGTGCTCATGGCAGGACGCGCATGGCTCATCCAAGGGCTGATGAAAGGTGTTAGCATAGTAGAAGAGCTGGCCGTTGGATTCTGAGTGCAGTGATGCAATCAATCAGGGGCTTGCCTCGGCCACCAACCAGGGGCAGGCAGGCTGCCTATAGTGTGTGCACGACGATGATATGACTAAGGGGTCGTGCATGACTGCACCGACTGCATGACTAGCGAGATGCATTACACACAGCGGCTTGGACGACTGCGCGCACTCAACGCTGCAGCCCTGCGCCAATCAGGCCAAGGCGCAGGCAACCAAGCCCGCCGAAAGCTCTCAGGCACAGACCCGCCCCAAAACACACGAGCAGGGTGCCGTGTGCAACTTCGTTCGGCACACCAATGGCGGCGCAACAAGTCTCAATGCCCTCCGCCTGCACGCATCCACTCAAACAATCTTAGGCTGATAGAAGGACATCCCAGTGACCACATCAGCATGAGACCAACGCATGGCCCCTGGCACAAGCGCTCAAGACTGTCTAGCTGTCCAATCTCACACGCAGGGCGTGCGCGGCCACGCGACGCAGCCAGCGCGTTCGTGCCACCCAGCCCCTCACCCGCCGCTTGCCCGCCGCCCCACCGCAGCCCCACGTGCGCCCGCCGCCCCTCCGCGCCCGCGCGTCCAGGCGCTGCTGCCGGGCGCGTCGCTGCAATTGACCTCAGGCCGTGAGAGTCGGATTGGCGGGAGACAGGGGCCTCCGTCTCCCGCTGGTGGGGGCCGCTTCTTGCTCACGGCCAGAGCTTCTCCTTGTGCAGGGCGCCCAGGCGGTCGGCGGCAGCGATGGCGTCCGCCACCATGCGCGCCGTGACCTGCGTTCGGTTGGCGCGCGGCGCAGGACGCCGGGTGGGGCGCGGCGGCAATGACGGATGGCAGCGCACCGAGCTTAGGACGGGCCTGGCATTGTGCATGGTGGGGTAGCCCGAGGCCGAAAAACACGAGGGAGGGTCAAGACCGTGCAGCGCGATTATGCACAGGTGGCGTGCGAGGCCGGTTCCTGCCGCTTGGGTTGTTGGCACTAGGCACTGGCGCCCCCCTAGGCCGCTTTGCCCGCAGCCGCCTGGCGCTTTGCCTCCACGCCCCGTTCCATCCTGCGGGCTGGCTGGCGAAACCGCCTCAGCGCTCAAAGCACCTCAAAGGGCTCGTTGTGGCTCGTCTCGCCCTTGGCCACGCAGCGCTCCGCCACCTGGGGGACGCGGCAAGGCGCGTGCGCACCGCCGGGTAATCGGGCGATTGCCTGAGTCCGCAGAGGCACTGGCACGCAGGGGGCGCCTGTGTTTGAGCCCGGGCTCAAGCCGTTAATTGCAGCCCTGTTGCCAGGCCAGCGGCGGTCCAAATTTAAAGCGAAGGCCCCTTCACGCGTCTGCCTGCAGCCAGCCAGCAGTGTCCCAGCCGTTCAGCGCCCAAGGCGCGCTACGCCACCCCCCCCCAAAGCAAAATACACGCAGCTTCGCCAGAGGTTCAATCAAACAAAAGCGTGCACGAGCACCCCAGCACGAATCATCGTGACGAGCGGCCCGCCACGGCTCCTCTCGCTCCGCACACGCGAGCGCCCAAAACCCGTGCAGCACGCCATTCATACCGCCGGGGGCGCAAGCGCGCACCTTCATTATTGCGTCGAGGTCGCCGGCGTCGACGCCCACCTCCCTGAGAGTGGTCGGCAGCCCCACCTGCGCGGTTGACACGCATGCAGCCAGGACACCGCCGTCAAAATTCGCACAGCGCTCCAAACAACTGTGTGCGTCTGGCGTGTTGGTTATCTGTTCCAAGGCGTGGGCCCTCCCAAAAAGCCCAGGCTGGCTCGGCACAACTGTGGAGGTTTGTGCGGCCCCGTCCGGCCCCGCTGCCAGCGCGCGTTGAGACTGTGCGCAGCACGGGCGACGGCCCCATCCAAGGTCGCCGGGGCGGGCGCGCGGGACCCGCGGGGCGGGGCGGGCGGCGCCGCACACACGCCCCCATGAGGCGTGCGGCCACCCGACGTGCGGCCTATATCAACAGCAGGATCAGCGGCAGGATTTGGATCGTGGCAGCCCCACGGATCACCTTATCGCAGAATGTCAGCACTGTGTCTGTCTCCTCCTTGGGGCGGCCCTCCAGCACCATCTGGGTGCACAGGCCAAACGCCACCTATTTAGTAAGCATACGAGAAGGGGTTGTTGAGAGGTGAGGAGGCGGAACGGCTGCTTCACGGCGCCGCCCAGGAAGGCAGGCGCCAGTGATGAGCTTCGGCAGGCAGACTAATGCAAGGGTTTTGGGGGCAGCCGCAGCATTTGTCCTGCTGGCTCCTGATCGGCCGCTCCCAAACCCCTTCGCTTCCAAACAGCCGTGTGTTGTCGTACGCTCATTGCTGACCGCTCACAGCCCGGCTACACCCGGCGCGCGCACGCGCCTTTTCCCCGTGCATGTAGTCGTGAGTGCAGTCGAGGCAGGTCAGGCCTGCGGCCAGACACACCAAAGGAAGCACAGTGGCTGTCATTGCGCGGGCAGATTTGAAAGGACGGGCGTCGCGGGCAGCCACCCGCCGCTGCCGGCCGCCGTGACGCAGGCTCAAGCAGGCACTACCCAGCCACCGTATGGGCCTCAAAATCAATAGCACTGAACACGTTGATCCTGGCCGGCGCTCTACGCGTATGGCTGCCTGCAGGGGTGTGGTTAACTGCGTCCGTAAGCGCCAAAGCCAGCGGGGCGGAGGCGGGGCCTGTGAAGTAAGACCCGCGAAACAGACGCCGTCACCCACCGTTGTGGCAGGCGTGTGCGACGCACAGCCC